TATTTTTATTTTTTAAATATTTCCCAAATGATATTTAACAGAGTAAAGAAATTTTTACAATATGTCTGATAATATTTTTTCTTCTGGAGAAAGTCTTGTTGTTAGCTAGAATAAAAGCAGTTTTTAATTTTTTAAGCACCATTTTACTGACAAAATTATTATCCCTTCTACGCTATATTTTTCCTCGATAGTCTACAGAACAAACCATAATTATACAATAACTTGCCTAATTACCCTAACCTGCCTAGCTAACCTAATTAACCTAAAGTCTTTAAATGTCACTTTAAGCTGTATGGAAGTGTCTTGAAAAATATCTAGTCAAATATTATTTACTGTTATTTACTATTATGTTTAGAAATGTGCTGAAAAAAATCTTCTTTCCGTTAAACAGATATATATATATATATATATATATATATTTATATTTTTTTTTTGTTTTTGTTTTTTTTGTTTATTTATTTATTTATTTTTTTTCGGGGAGAGTGAGACGGAACGGGAGAGTGGTTGGAGATGGATCTGAAATACCAGAGACTGCCGGGAAAACGGTAGTCTTGGTAGGTATAAATATGTTTAAACATTTGTTTTGAAAATCCTCTATCCATTATACAAGATTTATAGTGCCGACGTATACAGCCTTTTTTGCCATGCCTGTCATTGGCTGGTTATAAAAGAAAATTTACTAGCTAAAATGTTTTTATTTATTTATTTTTTATTGACCATGTCTTGCCATTTCTGCGAATACAGGTAATTTTTACAGCGGCTAACCATATTTACATTGTTTTTATTACTAATTGTCCTTGTTTTAATTTTCAATAATCAAAATATACAGAGGTAATACCATAAAATTGAAACACTGGCCAATTTCTTGTTGGAGGTTTCATGGGTAAATTTGACCAGCCTAATGCAGTTACTGGTGTGGAGAAGCCCTATAGAAGCATACCACCCAGATTGTTGATTGACCAGAGTGAAGCATGGAGGTGGATCGGTTTGGGCTAGCATTCCTTAGACCCAATACTTATTCCATCACTGCCAAGGACTACCAAACCATTCTGCTAAACTCAGTTCAGTTCACCTTTATTTGTATAGTGCTTTTACAATGTAAATTGTGTCAAAACAGCTTCACATAGAAGATTATAGGAAATTAAAACAGTGTCAGTTTTCAGCGTTTAGGTTCAGTTCAGTTTAGCTCAGTTCAGTGTGGTTTAATAGTCAATACTGGGAGTCCAAACACTGAAGAGCAAATCCATCGATGAGAAGCTCTACAAATCCTGAACCATGCAAGTCAGTGGCAACAGCAGCAAGGAAAAAACTTCACCAACTGGCGAAAGTGAAGAATAAAAAATAAATAAAATAAAAAAACCTCGACAGAAACCAGGCTCGGTTGGGCACGACCATTTCTCCTATGGCCAAACGTCTTGTGCAGAGCTGAAGTCTGTACGCTGGAGGCTGGAGAATGCTAGACCTCAGCAAAGACTCTTCTGTACCTGGAGTGTCACAGGAATCAGTCTCATGCTCTCCACTCCTCTATGACCACCGCAGCTCTGCATACAGTCTGGACCAGGATTATGGAAACCGTGGGATCATCTCGATCTGCTGGTCTTTTATCGAATCAGTGGAGCTGCCTAGTCTGAGGGCCTCAGGATGAGAATCCTCAGATAGAGATAGAGAATAAAGAGAACAGTAAGCGCAGCTGCTATTCTGCTATTCTGGAGAACCATGCACACTCAATGGTTCAAACATTATATCCTGAAGGTGGTGAAGTGTATCAGGATGATAATGCACCAATACACACAGCAAGACTGATGACATCGTGGTTTGATGAACATGAATGTGAAGTTGGACATCTCCCATGGCCTGCACAGTCACCAGATCTAAATATTATTGAGCCATTTTGGGTGTTTTAGAGGAGCGAGTCAGGAAACATTTTCCTCCACCAGCATCATATAGTGACCTAGTCACTATTTTGCTAGAAGAACGGCTCAGAATCCCTCTGGACACTGTACAGGACTTGCATCTGTTATTCCTAAGATTAACTGATACAGAATCGGCAGCAAAAGAAGGCCCTACAACATACTAATGAAATATTGTGGTCTAAAAGTATAGTTATTATGTACACAAACATTCTGTAGCAGTAAATTGTGATTCATGTCTCTATGGTCTCATTGCCACATGCAAATGCGGAAAGAATATGAACAATATTTAATGCTTATCCAATTTTCCAAGAGACTGTGATTCACAGAATTTTTTCTGTCCACTTTTCCTTTTCCCTCCAGCTGCAAAAAAAAAATGCTTGTTTAGTTCTCTGGAGTGACAGTCAGAAGGAATTTATTTATATATTTATCTATCCTTTGGATGTATTTGTGACAAATGCTCCAGTTGCTAGTGCCTATGGGGAGAGCTGTCGAGCGTGACTTAGTCTATTCTCTGTTATAAGCGTGAGCACATATTGCAGTGACATCTTACACGGCTAACAGCAGCCTTCTTTCAGATGAGCCATGGC